GAAGCTACTCCAGGATCGAATGGGGTCACAGTCCGACTTGCCAAGAGTATCCACCGACTACCTGCAGCCACTTGCGCTGACAATTGCACCCTGGTCTACCATGACAACGATGTTACGCCGGGGTTCCACTAGTGCGAGTCGAGCGGCACGGCCTTCGACATGTGCGCGATCATTGGATTTACACATGCAAGGGTAATGCAGTGTTTGAAATCATCTAAGCCTCCGTCTGGCTTCGATGAGGACTTCCCGAAATTCGAGGAGGATGCAGACTGTCCGGCAACGCGCGGTGGCTTGCAATCGGCGGAAACGCCCGAGCGCCCCCGCCGACAAGACGTTTCCCCGCGGTTCCAAGAACATCGGAAGCCGACCTTGAGACTTATGTCTTCGAAGCTTGGCATGCAGAACTTCAGGGTGAGCGCGAGCTTCTCGAGAGTGCGACACTTCAACCTCCTTGCATAACACTTGTTGTGATGGTATCTGACCAGGCGGTCTCAAATGCAGTGGCCAACGACGACCGGGTACTCGTCGTCGCGGAGACGCGCGCTACCGCGACTCAGATGTTCACCGCGTCTCTGTGACCCCCCATGTTGACGAAGACCATGCGCTTGATGGCGACAGATATGGTCAATCTATTGAACTGTGCTTTATAGCTGATGTGGCCAAGGTTGTCCTTGCAGAGCAGAAGTATTGTCTATTGCAGAAAGACAACGTTACCGCAATGCGGATATGCGTCTCCGCAGCTGCTAAGCGGGCGGTGGTGGTGAAGGAAGACGACCTGCTCACTGGGGCTGATGTCGTGGCCAAACCAGTGCAGGTAGGCATGGCGCTCTGTGCTGAGTTAAAGATCTGGCTTGACAGCAAGTGCTTCAAGGTGGCATCTCTTTCAGACGCCGCAAACGTCATGACCTCGCGTTGCGTGAATAAATGAAAGCTCGTCAAGAATGAAAGAGGAGAAATGGTCAGGACACTTCGCTTGGGTCTTGTCCTGCGAGGGTTCATGGACGCGGGGGCCTTCGATGTGGTAATTTCTTCAGGAACAGCCAGAAGGTCAAGCCGGCGTTGGATGATTGCGTCTACGGATATAGACGACATTCCTTAAGGGTCTCAGCTACCGTAAGCTTGCAGAAACCATTGTAGAGCGGTCGCGCATCGTATGCTTTGCGCTGCCACCTGGATCGGCAGCTGTGTTGCGAACTCTCCCTGAGCTCGAGAAACGCCACGAAAGTCGTCGCTGCTTGCAGTGCCTGGGGCCGGGCGCCGGGGCGAAGGGCGCTCCGCGAGCCTTCCCCCTGAGGCTTCGCAACGTCGCGCATCGCTCATCGCTTCGGCCTGCGAGCCACGTCCCATGACTAACTCGAAACAGCGGAGACGCTACTGACGGCCAAACACGTGGACGATATCAACATGACTGTAAGAGAGGAAACTATCGATCGCAACGTAAAGTTCGCCGAAAACACGTTCGGTGCATGTGGGCTTGACAAACATATTTGCACTAACTGCGCCGTCAGATACAAATAACCATAATGGGGCTGTTACCTCGGTTCAGGACGACTGCATTCGACGACTTCGCCCCGTCCAACATCCCGGCCTTGCGGGAGAAAGCGACGACATTTCTAGCAGACATGTTCGTCAGCTTCCGTGGAGCATGAACGTGTGCCCTGATAACCTAGTTCTGGGTGATGGCCGATGTTGTCTCTCTACAGCGGGTTCAAGAAGCGACCGATGTTCAGGCGCGGCGATTGAATGCAATTTCGCGGAAATTGCAGAGTCAACCCCAGAAGATTGTCTATCCTGCTATGAAGCCCACTGGAGAAGTCGACCTGCGCCGAATCCGGCTATCGACGTCTGACTTGGGGCGATGAGGGCGAGATGAGAGGGCGTGGCGTCAGAGGTGCCAGCTAACTTCGGCGTGGACACACGCGTGCTGGCACATTTGTCGTATACCTGATCGATGCTTACTGCAAGTCGCATCGACTGCAGGTAAGATCAAGCTACTCTGCGGAGACGTTAGCAGCAGCCCATAACTAGAGGACTGCTGCTCGACCATTGTTACCCTGCGCGAACCAAAGGCGGGACCGCTCACGCCCGCGCAACTCAATCATCTACTTGAAATATCGCGGTCTCTGTATCGAAGTTGCCCTATCCAGCGATGCCGAGTTGGTTTTCAAATCCTCCTCCAGCAAGGACCTCAAACAGCCTGCATAATGTGTGCTGTTGGGGCGCATTCGCTGGATGAGACAGATGATGGATCTAAGTGCCGTGCGCAACATGCAATGGTGTGATGCACGGGACATGACTGCCGATGGACATGCTCCTGGCTGTATTGAACGGGACTTGCTGTTGCAAGTAGTGGCGTGAGCGCGACCCTTCAAACACGAGTTGAAGAGGTGCGCTCATTACAGGGTCCGACCTCGAATCTTGGGCCTGGCTCATGACGAGCCAGCGGGGCGCTTCTATCTGGCGTGGAGGCACGCGGTGAGATGATGCCTGTGATATTTTACTCTTTGCGCTGTTTGCGCCTTTGGGTCCTTGTCTCATGGCTGGACCCCGCAGGACTACTCCCGCCGCTACTTTGCGTTTCGATCCGGGCTCGATACCGGATCGTGCCCGCCACCGCTTCGCAGCTCGTTCAACGCGAGGCCTTTCGCGTTTTTTCTTTGGAAGATGTAGCTTAATCTTGCAGCTCGCTCTGCTCGTCTCCTCCTCCCATCGATTCTGAAATAGGGGTTCAGAGGGGCAAGTATGTAGCGGGCGTGGCGAGCGCGCCGTCGGCGTCTGGCTCAAGACGCGGGCGCCCTGTTTGTTGGGGCTGCCAGAGGATTCGGCAGTTCGCCATCGCAGTGGAAAAAGGGACTTGATCACGCCCCTGGAACTTGTGCCATCTTGCACCATATCCCAAACCCCTTACTACATGGTCCCCATCTAGCTTTTTAGTCTCCGTGCCTCGCGCGGCGTGGTTAGCTCCGACTCATCCCCGTCCTCCTCCGAAGGGGGGGGGGGGCGGAGGGGGAGGGGGAGGAGGAGGAGGAGGAGGCGGATGATGATGATGAGGAGGAGGAGGAGAACCAGCGTACACCCAAGAGTCATAAACGATGTTGGGAACAAGCCTCGCTCCGAGCTCCCTCTTCAGTGGCCCCCGCGATGGCTCATTTCCATTGAAGGAACTGCCTCTTTGGAAGACGACCGTTTGAGTGCCCTGAAGCATGCTGCAACATTGCTCTCTGAATTCCAACGCCGGGGCTCAATTTGACTGCGTCTTGACACTCCTGACTCTTACCATAACGCCATTCTTGGGAACACAACGAGCCAATATAATTGTTGCACTCGAAAAATCCGGAATCTTTTCCAAACAACATTTCTGGCACGTTGATGATGGGACTTCGTGAAATTTTCGTAATTTGCTAAAAAGTGAATGTGCGCCGCGCTGAGGCGAGAGCCACATTTTGAAAAGGAACCGCCCTCAATATGTGAAGCTCTCGCAAATAGTTGAAGCGAATGTACGCCGCGCTCAAGCGAAAACCACATTTTGAAAACGACCCGCCCTCCGTCTGTGAATCTGTTGCCAATTTTGAAGCTTCAGAAGCATGGATGGTGAGTGCGTCGCAGACGAAACGCCCTGCCCGCCCTAAAAAGTGGCCCCGGGGTGCGACAGGGACAAATTGTTTATAAGGGAAAGGAATGGTGGAGGAGGGGGAGGAGGAGGAGGAGGAGGAGGAGGAGGAGGAGGAGGAGGAGGAGGAGGAGGAGGTGGAGGAGAGGAGGAGGAGGAGAGGAGGAGGGAGGAGGAGGAGGAGGAGGAGGAGGAGGAGGAGGAGGAGGAGGAGGAGGAGGAGGAGGAAGATGAAGACGAGGGGAGGAAGAGGAGGAGGAAGGAGGAGGCGGAGGAGGAGGAGGAGGAGGAGGAGGAGGAGGAGGAGGAGGAGGAGGAAGGAAAAGAGGAATTGTTCGCGCTCCGCGCTCGGCGCGGCGCGGGAAGCGCGAGGTCAGGCGCCGTCGGGAAGGCGGGAAGGTTGGGAGGGTGGAGGTCGAGGCTGACCCCTTCTGCCGGTCCCCCTCGGCGCGCCCTCGCTGGGCAAGAAAGTCCCTCCTCACTACCCGCCCGCTGGGGGGGGGGGAGGGCCCCTCGCCCCACGCGTCGGCCCTGCGTCCCTCTGGCAGGAGAGCCGCCGCCTCCTCCCCAGCAGGCGCCCCCCCTCCCCATCCTTCTTTAGCTTGGTGTCGCTTGGACGTGTACATGTTTTGCCCGGCGAGAACCATCGAGGATCATCTTGCATCATCTTGCGAAGCAATACACGCACGAGGTCGAATAATGGACGGGGAGTGGACGTCCGAGCGATGGCGAGTGGGATGTCTGTTTTGGGGACCTTTCTGGGGCGCATCCAGCTCGACTCAAAGTCTATTCCAGTTTGACTCAAGTCGACGGACGCTCCAGGAAGGTCTCCAGACCGAGCGCCTAACCCTGCCCCCTCTCCTTCTGACCCCTGTTTTGGGGACCTTTCTGGGGCGCATCAAGCTCGACTCAAAGTCTATACCAGTTTGACTCAAGTCGACGGACGCTCCAGGAAGGTCTCCAGAGCGAGCGCCCAACCCTGCCCCCTCTCCTTCTGACCCCCTCCTACTTCGGCGGACGAGGTACGGTACAGAAGAAGCTTTTTCGCCATCGGAGACGCCTGTCCTAGGGCGGCTGGAATGTTTACACCCTTGTGGTGCCACTGCAGGGGCATAAACTTTCCAGCCAAGCCGCCTAGGACAGGCGTCTCCGATGGTGGCGAAGTTTTTTCTACGCCTTTCTTGGCCCGCTAATTTCTGGCCTGCCGCGTCGGAGCATGCAAGATGGACAGAAGACTTATTCACACGGTTGTACCAACTCACACAGCGCGTGCCACGTTTACTTTCTCCGTTCCCTCCTCGTCCTCCTCCGCCTCCTCCACTTTTTCCACCTCCTCCTCCCCCCTTGGCATGGCCCGAGCGGCCATGGGCTGCACGGGCTGTCTTCAGCTTCATATCGCTGTCGCAGTGCGACGCCCAGAAGCGTTCACGGCACCGCCCGTGGTGCGAGTTGACCGCCTCCAAGGGCCAGCCGACTTGAGCTGAACTCCGCCCCCCTTCCCTCCCAGGCCATGAGTGCAGTGCTGCACATTGTCGCGAGCGCGCCTAAGAGCACCGTTCGTTCTGCCCATCCTGCGCCCTCTCGGGTGAACGGCCTCGCGCCCGCCCGCCTGCCCTTGGTGCGGGGCCCTCTCCCCGGCGCCAGCCACAAACACCTGCTGGAGGAGCCGCCGTTCCGACGCCCACACGCGGCGGCGGCCGGCGAGGGGACCTGTGCTGCAAGAGATCCAGACATGAGGCTTCTCTCCTCCTCCCTCCTTAGTCCTCCCTCCTCCCTCCTCCTCCCTCCCTCCTCGATCATTCCTCCTCCCTCCTCCCTCCCTCCCTCCCTCCCTCCCTCCTCCCTTCCTCCCTCCTCCTCCTCCTCCTCCTCCTCCTCCTCCCTCGTCCTCCCTCCTCCCGCCTTCCTCCTCCCTTCCTCCCTTCCCTTCCTCCTCCTCCTCCTCCTCCTCCCTCCTCCTCCCTCCTCCCTCCTCCGTCCTTCTCCGCTGTTTCTCCTCCTCCTCCCCCTCCTCTCCCTCCCTCTCTCCCTCCCTCCTCCCTCCTCCCTCCTCCCTCCCATACTCCCTCCCTCCTTTTCCT